AAAAAAAAACGGGGTTAGCCATGTGGGAGTGTCCAGCGCCTTAACCATCACGCCACCTGCTGGTCTCCAACAAAAAAAATTTTTAAATTCAAAAATAAAAATAAATTAAAATTTAGGTCTTGCCTAAGGTGTGGTGATTAAGGCGGTTGGATTCCACATGGCCAGCCATATGGTTTGAGTCCTAGACCTGGTGCTTTGAAAAGCACATGAGGCACATGTATGTGTGTGCCCAAAATCCCAAAGAAAAGGAAGAAATGGAGAAGGGGCTGCAGCATGAAAATGCCCCATGGCGGTGCTTTCTCACTTTCCCTATCTCTTCAGGGAATGCACATGCCTTCTGGTAAGGTTAAAAATAAATAATATAGGGGCCAGCAGGTGGCGTGGTGGTTAAGCATGCTGGATTCCCACATGGCCTACCATGGTGCGAGTTCCAGACCTGGTCGGTTGCCTTCTCGCTTTCTCTTTCTCTTGCTCTCTCGCTCTATCCCTCTCTGATCAAATTTTTTTTAAAAAGAAGCAAATAAATAAATAAAGTTAAATAAAATAATTCTTAAAAAATTAGTAAGTAAAAAATAAATAACATAAAATAAAATTTAAAACTTGGAGTTCAAAGATAAGGGTTTAAATCCAAATTTGCTACATAGTTACTGTATACTGTGGCAAATTTAATCATTCAGTCTAATCCGATAATGATCCCTGTGCCTGAGTGGTTTTGAGGAAAAGTGAGATAATATATGCACAAACACTAAGCTGTTCTTTACATGTTGTAATAAGGTAGGCAATAATTTGAATTTTTCTAGTGCACAGACCACTCACCTAGTTTATCAAGATACTGTATGGTAATTTTTTGTTCTTGTCAGTGTTGATTTCTGCTTGAGGGAAACCTCTGTACTATAATTTCAGCAGAGATTCTACTGTATATATTGGGTTGTTGGAAAAGTCATGACAGTTTTGCATAGAAAAACATAGAAAATACATCATGGTTTTTCTGACAACCCACTATTCCAAATTTTTTAAAAAATCATAATCTAGGGAACAGCAGATGGCATAGTAGCTACATCGCTGGACTCCCATGTAGCTGGCTGCAGTTCGTGTCTCAGACCCGGTGGCTTAAACTCACGCCAGGCACATGTGTGTGTGCCCAAGATCCTGAGAGGAGAATGGAGGAGAAGGGATTGTGGTGTGGCCATCCCCCTTGGGGGGTGATTTCTCGCTTTCTGTCTCTCCGTCTCTCTCTCTCTCTCTTTCTGGCAAGCGCATGCTCCCTATAGCAAAAAATGCTCAAAAAACAATTCATAATCTCTAGACCCAGCTGCATTGATACGTGCTGTTATGACACTGTGCTCCATAGTCTGGGGCCATATGGGAGACGCAGGTTCAATTCTTAGTCTAACCTAAAGGCTGGCAACACTGCAGGTGGTGGTTTGTGCTGTAGTCTCAGTTGGGAGGCTAAGGCGAAAGGTTTCGATGTGGTGAGACCCTGTCTTTGAAAGACACAATCATAACCTCCAAACTAGAAATTATTATAGTTGTGTGTTACACATGTAGTAACCACCGTAACAGATAAGCATATACAAGGGTATTTCAAAAAGTTTGTAGAAAAATGGAATAATAGTATGAATTTATTTTGGTACAAACATTTTTGAAATTCAGTTTTTCATAATATATATTTCCCATGAATTTTTTGAAGACTCCATGTATGTAAAACACTAGAGAATTACATGGGCAGATGGTTAGAGAGACGACTGGTCAGTTGAGAGGAGGAGCATAAGCCTCCTCCACATCACCCCTTGTGTTACAGTAAATTTCTCTATGGTTGTAGTCTGAGCAAAGCAGGAAAATCCTGAGCTACAGTAGATTATATTCTGAAATGTGCGTTATGGTCTGCTAGTGGCTTGATCCCTGTGATCAAGGAACCATGCCTGAATTAAGAGTTCCAACTAACAGGAAGAATGAAAAAAACAGACGCAGAACTGCCTGGAGATGAAATGGGGCTAGAGAGTTCTGATAACCAGCATCCCTAGCTAAATAAGGGAAGCAACATCTGGGTTTTTGCTATAGGGCATGTGTGCTCACTGGGGAGAGAGAGAGACAGGGAGAAAGAGAAATCAGCCTCTGGAGGTAGCTGACTGTAGCCACGCTACAATCCCTTCTCTTTCATTCTGAGATTTTGGGCATGCATGCACACATGCACACAAACCCAGAATGATTTTATTTTATTTTTTTTTTTGAGAGGTTTTTGCTGTAGGGTGCGTGCACTCGCCAGAAAAACAGAGAGATAGAAAGCAAGAAATCACCCCCTGGGAGGGATGGCCGAGCTGCAATCCCTTCTTCTCCATTCTCCTCTCGGGATCTTGGGATCTTGGGCATGCATGCATACACACATGCCCGGCATGAGTTTAAGCCACCGGGTTCGGGACTCGAAACGTGGTCGAATACACGGGAGTCCAGGGACATAGCCATTACACTAACTGTGGGTCCCAACCCAGAATGATTTTTTAGCCACCAAGTCTCGCACTAGAATGGTGGTAGGCTATGTGGGAGTCCCGTTCCTTAGCCACTACGCCACCTGCTGGCCCCAATCTGGGCCATTTCTAAGGTAAAGAGAAGAAAGAAGAGAATCCCTCTTTACCACTGCTCCTATAAAAAATGTCTCCAGATTCTAAGATGATAGAAAATAGTATGAATTTATTTTGGTACAAACATTTTTGAAATTCAGTTTTTCATAATATATATTTCCCATGAATTTTTTGAAGACTCCATGTATGTAAAACACTAGAGAATTACATGGGCAGATGGTTAGAGAGACGACTGGTCAGTTGAGAGGAGGAGCATAAACCTCCTCCACATCACCCCTTGTGTTACAGTAAATTTCTCTATGGTTGTAGTCTGAGCAAAGCAGGAAAATCCTGAGCTACAGTAGATTATATTCTGAAATGTGCGTTATGGTCTGCTAGTGGCTTGATCCCTGTGATCAAGGAACCATGCCTGAATTAAGAGTTCCAACTAACAGGAAGAATGAAAAAAACAGACGCAGAACTGCCTGGAGATGAAATGGGGCTAGAGAGTTCTGATAACCAGCATCCCTAGCTAAATAAGGGAAGCAACATCTGGGTTTTTGCTATAGGGCATGTGTGCTCACTGGGGAGAGAGAGAGACAGGGAGAAAGAGAAATCAGCCTCTGGAGGTAGCTGACTGTAGCCACGCTACAATCCCTTCTCTTTCATTCTGAGATTTTGGGCATGCATGCACACATGCACACAAACCCAGAATGATTTTATTTTATTTTTTTTTTTGAGAGGTTTTTGCTGTAGGGTGCGTGCACTCGCCAGAAAAACAGAGAGATAGAAAGCAAGAAATCACCCCCTGGGAGGGATGGCCGAGCTGCAATCCCTTCTTCTCCATTCTCCTCTCGGGATCTTGGGATCTTGGGCATGCATGCATACACACATGCCCGGCATGAGTTTAAGCCACCGGGTTCGGGACTCGAAACGTGGTCGAATACATGGGAGTCCAGGGACATAGCCATTACACTAACTGCGGGTCCCAACCCAGAATGATTTTTTAGCCACCAAGTCTCGCACTAGAATGGTGGTAGGCTATGTGGGAGTCCCGTTCCTTAGCCACTACGCCACCTGCTGGCCCCAATCTGGGCCATTTCTAAGGTAAAGAGAAGAAAGAAGAGAATCCCTCTTTACCACTGCTCCTATAAAAAATGTCTCCAGATTCTAAGATGATAGAATTCAGGGACCCAGAGTAGGAGTTCAGGGGAGATGTGGGCAGTTATGACTCACCTGCACATGCTGCTCTTTGACGCAGACCCATACAGTATAGACCCCAGGTTCCTTGGGCGTATAAGAAACATAGTATGTCCCATCCTTGTTATCTTGGACCGTTGTTCTCACTGGACTAAATGGAGATAACAGTTTAAAAAGTTACTCCAACAAGCCTCTCTCAGTTGCATATTATTTTAGGATGTAAACTCTACACCATTCCATTCAATATTATTTTCTTGGGGCCAGCAGGTGGCATGGTAGTTAAAGGTGCTGGATTCCCACATGGCTGACCATGGTTCGAGTCTTAGACCTGGCAGCTTGCTTTCTCATTTTCTCTTTCTCTGTGTGTCTCTGGTCAAATTAAATAATAAAAACAAATAAAATTAATTAATAATTCTTTTTAAAAATAGTATTTTCTCTTTTAGTTGCCAGATAGTGTATATGCTCACCAGAGAGAGACATGGAGAGAAAGAGAGGAGAAAGCGCCCCTTAGTGGGGCGTGGTCATACTGCAATTCCTTCTCTCTTTCTCCATCCCATTGGGATCTGGGGCACACATGCATTCTGCATTTTTCAAGCCACTGGGGCTGGGATTTGAATTGCAGTTGGCCATGTGAGATCCAGCTCCCTTAACTATTGTGCTAGGGGCTGGCCCTCAATATTAATTTTAAATGTCTCCCAAACAGGAAGCTTCTTTCATTTGTCTCAGAAATGTTTATTTTTATACGACAGGAAGTCTGATACTCATATGAATTAGTCTGATATTCAGATAAATTCCTAGAAAATGTTATTGTTTTGTTTTTAGTGTTTTTTTTTCTGGTGCTCTTTTGTTGCTTATTGTGCCTCTGACACATACTTTAATTCCATATAAAAATGTTTATTGTTCCTCTGACACATACTTTAATTCCATATAAAAACAAACAAGCTGATTACAATTGAAGACCAAAGAGGGGCAGAATTTTTAGAAGGGCACCATTTAGTCTAACATAGAAGTATTTTAGTTTGTCCCAAAGCTTGAGATTAAGACAATCTGACCAAGTTTTGAGACAGAATATAACTATAAAATAGAAAACAAATCTGGTCCCACTGGTCATTATCACATTTTCTCAGAGAACTATGGAGAGGTAAACTATAACTACCTATAAGCAGTAACATTTCCACGATCTCAAAGGACCTCATGTTTCCATGTTCCTCACTGCTCATTACCCATGACAATGAATTATGTAATACACACCTGTCCTTCTTATCTTTAGGGATAACAGCAACATGAACGTTGTCTCCTCCCCTGCCCATGATCTCTCCTGCAGCATCCTTACAAAGCAGGGTGAAAGAGGCTGCCTGTTTCTCTCGGGCTCTGTGGAGATCTGCAAAAGATAAACACTCAGTCCTCACCTCAAAGGTAAACTGCAGTGACTACATCCCCAGATCAGATGCCATCTTGCCTTTTCTCTGCAGAACAAATGGTTGTGCTTCCCACTTACTGTGACTGCTGGAACCCTGCCTCCTTTCTCTGCTCTTCCCCTTCTGCCTCCCTTCTTGGGAGAGCCTCCTAATGAGACTGGTTATCTCAGCCAGCAGCTTTCTTATATCCTGAACCTTAATTTTAGCCCTAAGGAAGCTTTGAAAATACTCAAGATTGACCTAGGTATTCAGAGAAGAAAACCTCTCAATTGTTGAGAAAGGCTAGTGACCCTCAAGCCCCCCTCTATACTGGTTCTTTCTGGAATAGGATTCAGCTTGGACCTTCCACACTGTGAGATTCACCACACCTCACTACACTGTGCTAAGGTGTTACAAGGAATATCCAGTAGTTATAGCTGCTGGTCCAGCATTCAGGTGAAGCAGCGTTTCTTAATAACCTGGGGTTCTTGAACTTGTATAAGGTCTATGGAGATGCTTAAGAGGATCTAAGAATCTCCTGAAATTGTTTACCCAAAATAGGGGGTATTTCTCAGGGGGAGATCATTCTGAAAGGGATCCATAACTTCCATATAGTTCAAAGTTCCTGTGCCAGAGTTAGGATAACTCCAAGATACAATCTTCCCGTCAGGATTGACCTGTGAAGTACATGCTGAGTAAGATGCTTCCTTTAGGAATAGGAAACTGGTCAAAATAAACGTTTTTTTTTTCCTCCACTGAATGAAAAACCTTCCATATTCTTTAAACATCAATGATATAAGGCTTATGTGAGGTAAAGGGTCATAGAAGAAAGGAAACCATAACTTTCCTCATTCTTCTGAGACCCTCTTTAGAACTTGGTCTAAGCAATCCCAGGCCTGCCATGCTCCTTTCTGAGCAGGTAGGATTTCGTCCTGCCCTCGTCAGTGCTGTTAACTCCTGCAGCTGCTGTCTGTGTTCTGTCAGGTGACAGAACAAAGCAAAATCTTTTTTTTTTTTTTTTGAGAGATTTTCACTGTAGGGTGCATGCGCTCGCCAGACAGACAGAGAGAGACATAGAGACAGAAAGCGAGAAATCACCCCCCAGGGGGGATGGTCACGCCGCAATCCCTTCTCCTCCATTCTCCTCTCGGGATCTTGGCACGCACACGCGCCCGGCGTGAGTTTTTTAAGCCACCGGGTCCGGGACACGAACCGCGGTCGACTACATGGGAATCCAGCGACATAGCCATTACGCTAACTGCTGGTTCCCACAAAGCAAAATCTTTAAATTGCTTGGTGGGTACTACTTTTCTGACCTACAAAGGGCCAAGCCTCATCCCTATATTGAATATTAGCTGTGTGTTGACTAGAACAAACAGGGCAAGAAAGTCTTTTAGAACACACACACTCTCTCTCCTTTGGAAAACAGCAAGGGAGCACTTCTTGGCTGAATGAAGGCTCGAGCTGAAAAAGCCACAAATCTTTCAATACCATGTCTCTTTCCACTACCTTTCAATGCCTATAAGAAATGCCTTCCTACCTTCTCCTTGAAGGACACATTGGGCTGGATCAACCTCTTTGGTATTAATGGCCCCATAAACTTCATAGCCATGGCACCGGCCTGCTTTTTCCTGAGGAGAGAAGCATATCTTTTCATTTACTCCAGGACGGGCACTGTATTCCATTTTATTCAGGTTCTTGAGCCGTTCTACTACCACGCCCTTGGTGATGAGGATCTCCAAGTCTGAGCCGCTGGTCAGCAAGTGCTCGGTGAACTCCACTCCAGTCCGCATATCTGCCAGCAGCTGTTCCAGCTGTGCCTTCTGCAGCTGCAGGGAATTTTCCTTCTGGACTCGTATGTCTTCCAGCTGCTTTAGGAGCTTGTCCCGATGCTCCTCAATGGCCTTGATGTAGCCCTCAGAGAATGTTCGGACATCGGCAGCGCCCGCTGAAAGGGATCCATAACTTCCATATAGTTCAAAGTTCCTGTGCCAGAGTTAGGATAACTCCAAGATACAATCTTCCCGTCAGGATTGACCTGTGAAGTACATGCTGAGTAAGATGCTTCCTTTAGGAATAGGAAACTGGTCAAAATAAACGTTTTTTTTTTCCTCCACTGAATGAAAAACCTTCCATATTCTTTAAACATCAATGATATAAGGCTTATGTGAGGTAAAGGGTCATAGAAGAAAGGAAACCATAACTTTCCTCATTCTTCTGAGACCCTCTTTAGAACTTGGTCTAAGCAATCCCAGGCCTGCCATGCTCCTTTCTGAGCAGGTAGGATTTCGTCCTGCCCTCGTCAGTGCTGTTAACTCCTGCAGCTGCTGTCTGTGTTCTGTCAGGTGACAGAACAAAGCAAAATCTTTTTTTTTTTTTTTTGAGAGATTTTCACTGTAGGGTGCATGCGCTCGCCAGACAGACAGAGAGAGACATAGAGACAGAAAGCGAGAAATCACCCCCCAGGGGGGATGGTCACGCCGCAATCCCTTCTCCTCCATTCTCCTCTCGGGATCTTGTCTTGGCACGCACACGCGCCCGGCGTGAGTTTTTTAAGCCACCGGGTCCGGGACACGAACCGCGGTCGACTACATGGGAATCCAGCGACATAGCCATTACGCTAACTGCTGGTTCCCACAAAGCAAAATCTTTAAATTGCTTGGTGGGTACTACTTTTCTGACCTACAAAGGGCCAAGCCTCATCCCTATATTGAATATTAGCTGTGTGTTGACTAGAACAAACAGGGCAAGAAAGTCTTTTAGAACACACACACTCTCTCTCCTTTGGAAAACAGCAAGGGAGCACTTCTTGGCTGAATGAAGGCTCGAGCTGAAAAAGCCACAAATCTTTCAATACCATGTCTCTTTCCACTACCTTTCAATGCCTATAAGAAATGCCTTCCTACCTTCTCCTTGAAGGACACATTGGGCTGGATCAACCTCTTTGGTATTAATGGCCCCATAAACTTCATAGCCATGGCACCGGCCTGCTTTTTCCTGAGGAGAGAAGCATATCTTTTCATTTACTCCAGGACGGGCACTGTATTCCATTTTATTCAGGTTCTTGAGCCGTTCTACTACCACGCCCTTGGTGATGAGTATCTCCAAGTCTGAGCCGCTGGTCAGCAAGTGCTCGGTGAACTCCACTCCAGTCCGCATATCTGCCAGCAGCTGTTCCAGCTGTGCCTTCTGCAGCTGCAGGGAATTTTCCTTCTGGACTCGTATGTCTTCCAGCTGCTTTAGGAGCTTGTCCCGATGCTCCTCAATGGCCTTGATGTAGCCCTCAGAGAATGTTCGGACATCGGCAGGCACTGCTTCCACTCTCTCTTGCAGGGCGCTGTTCATCCCATTGATCTGAGCCAGGGCTTCCTCCAGGGCCTCCACGTGGGGCTGGGTGCCTTTGAGGAGTTCCCGCACAAAGTCACCATGCTTGTGAATGACGTTGCTGGTGAAGTCGTAGGGGTGTTCTCGGTGCTCCCCAACCACGCAATCCCGGCACACGGGTCGGTCACACAGCTCACAGAACAGCCTCAGCTCCTCCGCAGGATGAGTGGGACACAGGATGGGCTTCCCAATGCGGCTGTAGCCTTTCAAGTCTTTTAGGTCCACCATGGTATGGTAAGTTGTTTTCTTCTGCCTCCTAGGGGCAAACAGACAGAACGGAAAATTGGGGAATTATTTCAGTTGGGAAAGTTTGGCAGAGAAGTTTGAGGAGCATGTGCTCTGAAGAAAAAGCACTTGAGTTCAGTTCCTTGCGCTAACCTCTTCCCTGCGTGATCATCTCTGATTCCAGTTCCTCATCTCTACAGTGGGGACAGTAGCAACCTGAAAGGCTGTTGTGTGGAATAAAATGACAGTGATCTAGTGCTCCGGCTTGGGGCAGGCCTCTGTAAAAGTTTGTACCGCTGATACTACATCTGGAACTTACCCCACAGAGTTAATTTGGCACGTTTAGAAAAGAGCCACAGCAAGCTAGAGGTGACAGAGAAAACCAGCACCAAGAGACAGAAACTGTGCCAGCGAACATAGCAATGAACCCCAAGCAATTAAAAGAAGAAAAAAAAAGTCTCATCCAGCTAAGATTTTGGTAAAGCATTGCCTTTGACTTGTACCTACATTACTCAAAACAGCAGGCCAGAATTTCCCTCAAGAGTTATAAATGTTACTAGAAAGAGTGAAATTGGTGGTCAGCAGAATCAAAGCTCTTTTATTTAATTCCCCTTTTTAGTAGCCCTCTAAAGATTCAGGAAAACCCCTAGGAAACCAGTGACTGGTCAGAGTTCCCGTTAGCATTCTGTCATCTTGAAGCTTATATGCCTATTCTGGCACCAAGAGAGTGGCTACAGAGAAAATAGGGTCAGCTGTTAGGCTGGCGGCAAGACAGTCATAGAAACTATCACATAATTACAAGTTAAAAATAACAAGAGTGAAGACTACTAAATTGTTCTGATAGTGAAGCCAGAAAATAGATGAAAGTCAGAACTTAGAAACTATTTCTGGTCGGACTGGCAGGTGGCATGATGGTAAGGGTGCTGGACTTGCACATGGCCAGCTGTGGTTTGAGTCCCAGACCTGGCAGCTTGCTTTTGCACGCTCTCTCGGTCCCTCTTGGGTCAAATTAAAATAAATATCATTTAAAAAACCAAACAAACAAAAAGCTATTTTAGGTTAATCCTAAAGCTTTGGTCATTTTACATTACGAAGTCTTGGATTGGGGTGGGGGGAATAAGAAGGGCCAAAGAGTGATCCATCTGACAAACTATACTTGCTAAATGCCATTAAAGACATATCTGTATCCCAGTTAACACCTACCAGACCACCTCACCAAACTCCAGAGTAACTCTAGGGTACAAGGCAAAGGCTTAGGTGAGGTACACCCAATCAGCACCTATACTGGGAAGGCAGCATGGATTAGTAGAAAGAGCACAGAATGTTTTAAGAAGATCTGCATTTAAGACTCAGTTCTTACCAGCTGTGGGACCTTGGCAAACCCCATCATATTGCCGTGCTTCAGTTTCCTCAAGTAATAAATGGGAGTGAAAATAGTGCCTGCCTTTTCATAAGAGTTGCAATGAGCAACTGAGATCAAGGGCAGGGACTATACTATTATATTCATGCTCCTCTGCTTCTCCAGCACTGAGTACCATCATTCATGGCACAAATTGATGACTGAAGGAAACTGAATGTGTGTAAACTGAAAAGGACTATGAAACCTTTATTGCTCTTATTATTACAGATACTATTTTAGGCTGACGGAATTAACTGCTGTCCTAGAGTATTTACTATTGCATCATATATTGTTCTTCAACCCTCCAAATTTGAGAGTTTTCCTTTCCATTGCTCACCCAGAGATTTCTGTCTGGACATCTCTTTGTATTCCACTCTTAAGCCACACCAGGTGGGGTACCCATCTTTACCTATGAGCCTGGCAGCAGAAGTGGCAGAGATTGGCTTTGCAGGTCTGACACCTCTTCTCCACTTCCCTGTCACTGCACAGGTCACACACCAGGCCCTGGCCTTCCCCACGCAGATTCTCCAGCATCACATCATTCATGGCCAGGTGGTCTATGGTTAAAGCCTTCACTCCACCCATGGGCAGATCCACCTGAGCATCACATACCGGACAGAGGATGCCGATCTGTGGCTGCAGACTGCGTGACTTGAGTTCCTGGAATATTGACCCCTCAGAGCTTGTGTCTGAGTCTCCCCCTCGGATGTCCACTATTGAGAAGGGTTCTAGCCGCTCCAGACACGTGGTGCAAACCGTGTGCAAACAAGGCAAGAGCCTGGGGGCTTTGAAAAGCCCCATGCACAAAGGGCAACGAGTCTTGCCCGAGTTCCCCAATGCAGTCCCACTGGGGAGTTTGCTCAGCGGCTTCCTGTTTTCTGACATATTCCCCACGTTTGTGCCCAGTATCAGAAAACGCCCTGGGCAGTTCTATAATGAAGTAGTAGATGATTAAGATCACCCAAAGAGAAGGTTGCCAACACTTGACCAGAGACCATAGGGACTCTCGTTGGCAAATAAAAGAGCAAACGGGAAGAGAATTCCTCAAAGGAACCACCCACAGATCTACTCACGAGGGCCCCTTCTTTTCCACGGCATCCCATACCAGACACGCCCACGCACTCATCTAAACCCGAAGTCCTCCTCCCCAGATGCGTTTCCAGGTCTACGTCTAGAGCTAGTCCTGCTAACAACACCTTGACCCCTACACCTCTCGCGCCCTCCACTGCCACCCCCCTCCCGCCACCCAACCCACTAGGTCCATGCCTGAGACGCGACAAGCACCCCCGCCCCC